GTCTATCCATCTAAATTTTATATTGAAGTAAGAACCCTATAACGAATGCATATTGAATTCCAAAAATTTGTACTCTCGTCATAAAGATCCATTTTGAAAAAGTCATATCCATAAAAAAGGAAATCCCAAAAAAAGACAGGACACATGTAATCCTTAACATATGCGTGTTATTAAATTCGTAAGATTTGCGGACTGATGGTACGTAACTTACGGTCACCCTTAGCTAATCAGATAAAATCTAAATTTTCAAAATTGTCTTATGCGTTGCGTTATTTTGCTAAGTTTCTTCGGAATGTTTGTAAGTATACCCCGCTTTATCTGAAATTTAATGCGGAATTATATGTAAAGAGTTCTTGGTTTTTCCTTCTTACCTTGTGGGAACTTTTATTCTACTTTAAGAACCGGTATATCGGTCTATTGATTACTCAAATTATTTTTTGATTACCCACTGACAGCTCTTTCCGTTTGACATAATTGGCATGGCAGAGTTTGTGGACAATTTTGTACACATATTGCAATCACTTCCAAGAGATGATATAAATTTTAGGTAAAAATAATAATAATAATAATGACCCTCTTAAGCCTACGGACAAGTTTAAAGGTGCGTTATATCCCCTTTCAAAATTTATTTTTTGGGATATGCATCGAGAATATATGTATACGCTATGTTTGAGAGTTTTCGAAAATCTCCGCAATATTCTAATAGATGTACGATGAACTGGTCGATGAATTACCTTTGGAACTCCGTGGCAGTAGAGAATGATTATAATATAGTTTCACATCTTCTGCATTGCAGATAAGAGAAATATTGAAAGGAAAAACTTTAATCGTACATTTAATATATAAATCAAAATTTCAATTTGTATTTAAAATATATTTTTTTTATCGATTACAAATCATTTTACTGCGACAATATAATAAAGTAATTAAATAATTAATACAAATTTAAACACCTTGTGTATTTAATTTTGCACTAAGTGCTCATCTGTTCATATGAGATGAGTCATAGCGCTAGACAGGTAAAGGTGAAAAAACTAATTTCGAAATTTCAAATACATTTAATTGTTTTATAATACGAATAACAAACAACAACAAGAACAATAATAAATCAAATGACATAACTATATAAGCATAAATTTTTGCGCAGTCAAGTTAATTACCTGCAATATCGTGTACTTGTGTTTGTTGCAAAATGACTGACCGAAATGGATGATGACTAAATTAATCTATTAATCAAATCAAGTCTATCTTACATAATGCAAAAAATGTTGAGAAATTCGATTTATTTAATGATCGTTTTCGCAAACGTACTTACAAAAGCATAGCAACATAACATAAATAATGTTAATTAATAGGTCTAAATCTTAAGAAGGAACTGAATGCAATAAATGAATGTTTTTTTTTTTTTTTTTCTTAAAGTTGACGTCGATTTTGTCATTGATGAAATGGCATGGGAATATTTCTTTCACATTTGGGTTACCATAGGTTCGTCCACAAGTGTCATAACTAATGGCAAAGATTTCTACTCCTTGGATGTATATGAAAATTTGCTTGCACTTAACCTATCTAGACCGCACTCATTTATCGCGATAGAAGAGGAAAATTATGAAGTAAACACGTGCCAATTCTTGAATTTTTTACTAACCGATAAGATGGTGACTAAGTTAATAATTTTATGGTGGAAAATTGACTTGAAATCTCGTCAAGTTCAACACAATATTAATATTGTAATAAATAGGCGCGAGTGCACATAAAATTCCGCTAATTTTAATCAAAACTTATGCACGTGAAAGTTGGGGCCGGTTTATTGGTACTCGATAGCTGTGGATTATAGATTGACTGTAAGAGTTCGAAAATTTGCAGCTGCGGATAAGGTATACATTTCTCTTATTATCTTTTATTGGCAGCCGTGAACTAAACATTCGTTGCTACGCAGTTAGGAACTTGTAGAGTTGAACAAGTTTGAACCTGAAGAGAGAGTAGAACGGATGCTATGCCGTCACCTGAAAAAAAGGCTGAGATCGATTTAGAAATTGCTTCGGAAAGTGATTCTGAATCAATCGATGTAATAAAAAAAGTCAATTTATCTCAAATCCTTCTGGGTGTTATGTACGTCCGTCCGAACTTAATACACCCATGTACGACAAGTGGCGTAGAGTATAAGAAAAAGAGTACAGCGTATCTTTGGGAAACTCCCTTTCCGTACATACTTTGATATGGGGCTAAGCTACCCGGATGGACTTTTTGTGCAGTGCTGCAGAGCACCAGTATTGAATTTTATTAATTTTTGATTATTTTTTTACACGTGGAACACATTAGCGGGCACAGCAGTAGTCTTAAAAAAAAAAAAGGATACATAACCAATCAATTTGCAAAATAATTTCCTAAATGAGTTCTACATGGTTTGTTTTTTTTTTTTTTTCTATCGACTAAGCGATGAATATAAAAATTTATTCATTTCATAGTCATAGTCGTGAAATTCCTTTCGATTGAAATTAAAGCAACATATTTACTTTATGTATTTATATATATATAAATATATATATATATATATATACATATATATATATAGCCATGTAAATACACATATATTCTCTATCTTGAGTTACACCTTGACATACTTTAACAAGGTTTCTTTCCTTGAAAACTTCATTTCAAAATAAAAATATATGCATTCCTGGCTATGAAATAATCTGTTGAAATGTCATCGATTGTTAAGTCGGTTTTAGTAAAATTGTAAAATTATATAAGTTCATTACATTAAAATTTTTTTTCTTTTTTTTTCGTTTTTTTTTTTTTGTTATATATAGCGCAACAGTCCGTTATTACTAGGTATGCAAACAAATATTTGCTGGCATGAAAATATAAAAAACATAATATATTATATAATTTATTATTAATTATCGGTTTATTTGTAAGTTTTTCTCAACGGCCTACTCTACACCGCATGTGGTAGAATGATATATTAGGCTTGTGCGGATAGCTGCAACATCTAGAAGGAGTTGAAATGGATCCAGCTTTTATTACTAAGCTTGTCTATCCACCTGGTTTTCAACCAAGGGGCCGCATTTTTAGAGATATTCTGATGAAATCTCGTACACTGGCCTGATTTGGCCTCAAGGAGGAACACTATCGAAAATGGTCAGGATTCACGTTTTCGACCGCTTTACATATAACGCCGTCTATTGAAAACAATAATGAATATCTGCAGAGTGGTGTCTTTAGTTGTTTTATAAAAGATTTCAGTAAAAGGACTCCTTTCCTATATCATTTTTCTAACTTTTATATGAGCACTCGCTTTTTTAAATAACTTCCGAAATCTATGGATGGATCATAAACATTTGCTCCAAATTGATTATATTATTATGCCAATTTTTTTTTTTAACTTGAATTCAAGCGTTGCGTAAAAGCCTTCCTTCTGATAGCTTTTTCTTCTTTGTTAATTCCTTCAAAGTCGATCGGTTTGATTGAAAATGATTTCTGTAACCTTGAGGAACTATCACCACGGATAACTTGTGCACAAACGCGACTATATGTACGCAAGAAAAATTTTTTTGGGCCTAATGCTTGTAATTGACGGGGAAATCCAATAACGGCATTTTATTGGCCGCTGCTCCAATTAAACAACACCTTTACTGAGGGTCGCCGCGTGTAGATCTTACGCAATTGAACAAAGCATTTAAGTCAAAAATGCTCACAATGACTTTTGTCTCGATCACATTTTTCAGATCACATTTGCCAAGATTCGTAAAGGTCACTGTAGAGACGCTGAAATAACGTGGGCTCGGCTCTCGGGCTATATTTCTTAAAAATATCTTTACACTGAGGGAATAAAAAAATATCATTGACAAGTGATGAATGGACAAGTGATTGTTCGATTGCATCCACGACAAGTGGCCATTGCTTGAAGATCCTTCTGAGCATATTTTGATGCAACGACATAAACGTCCTTTGGAATTTATCTTTGGAGTTTGGTGGCACAAGCAAATAACAAAAATGCTATGCTATTTTAATAAAATCCTAGAAGACCCAATTTTTTCCGGTTTCGCCTTTGTAAATATTAGGGTTCTTAAAGTCGTCGTTCAACGGATTTAGACAATATTTTTGCCAGCGTTGAAGGCGATATTTTCTTATTTGCTTCAACTGCTCACTATAAGTGCTCACTCAAGTGGATATGCTTGAATCGATTAACAATATGCTAGTGATCAAGAATGTAAGATCCCTGAAGCTTCACTTTTTAGATGTTCCAAACTTTCTGACAAGATGCGATTACTCCCTTCCTTCTTTGACGGTTCTGAAAACATTTAAAATGTAAAAAGCGATTATAAGGTAGTGAAGCTAAGCTTTCTTCGTTAATGGTTCGAGTGGTTCATCATCCCGGTTTCATGCGTCGTTTGCGTAAAGCTATTCACCAGAATTATGTGAATGCAGTTCACGGGGCTTGCATTGCTACAATGCACCATCTCAATCTTCATCGTTTCGTTGAGACTTCTTAGCGGAAATTTAACTCACAGTATTTCACGAAATGTGGAACCTACTAGTTTCTTAATTATGATAGGAAAGAATCTATGACTAAATTCATATGATTTTTAGGTTAAGCCTATCGAAGCTAATTGAGAAAAACCTATAGCGAAACTATCTTCTGCACAAAGTTTTGAAATTGCAATTGTGAGCTCGACGGATGACCAAACTCCCAAAACCAAGTCATTTATGTTTTTCTCGCACTCTTCTCCTCTGTACAACAAAGTGATATCTTTTCTTTTGTACCTGATAAAAATAGAAGGTCTATACAATAAATACCCGACTTTAATATACATAATATACATTTTTTTATTTTATTTAATCACTTTTGATTTGCTTTAAAAGTGTAGTGAAAGAAAGAATTTAAAAAAATATATATATATATATATTTAACAATAATTATTATTTTTGTTGTACATGTTTTTAATTATTTATTTTTTTTTCTTTTATTTTATTGTCTCTTTTTTTTCTGATTCAAGTATTCTCATATGCAAATGCTTCATTTCCGTATTATGGTACAAAAATTGGTTCACTAAAGCGATTACATCACGGAGTTTCCGGTGATGTGTATGCAGTTGATTCACGTACAATCTTTGTGAAAAAATTCAATTATGATGGCGACGCACCAGGTTAGTTAGTAAAAATGAAAACAAAAATTTTAAAATAGAAAAAAAAAAAAAAAAAAACAAACGATTATTATAGTTTTTTGCAACTCTAATATATATATATATATATATATGTGAGCAGTAATTTATATATACATATATACATATATACATATATATATATATATCTATATCTTTATTTATTTTTTCTTTGTGCTAAGCGGCCTATTTTTACGTGGGCAGCAGTAATAAACCCAGTAATGAAGGCGGTTATCGTCTACGTGACGAACGCGGTGGTACGGCATCGTTAACTCGTCGTTATCGCAATAAAGATATTACTTTAACGCTACCTGAGGGTAAAACCTTAAAAGATATTAAATGGTTTTCGGTGTGGTGCGATGAGTTTGCCGTGAATTTTGGTGACGTTTCAATACCAAGCAATTTAGATTTTCCACGACCGCAAAAAATTAATGGTCTAAACGGCGTTCACGGTGTCAAATCAGATAATATAGTCATCGTCGATGCTCAAACATTGCTGGTACCCAATTTCAGTTATGACGGCGAAGCACCAGGTAAGTAAGTAGCGATTATTCTAATTGTTTAAAAGTCATTTGATGAAGACCGATAATGAAATAAAAATAATATTAAAATAAATTGAATCCTTATAGTATATCAAGATAGACCATCAACTTCCATCACCAAACCGCCTTTCTTTATAGATACCAAAATATACCAAAATATCCACATTGTGTTTATAGAAGGGATTCCAGTTTTAAATACCTAAGGACAAAACGTGAACCGTCATGGTCTAAAATTTAGACAAATTAATTTTCTTGTAGGAGTATAATAAATTCTTCACCAATTTTACGTAATAATGCCTAAAATTTAGATCTTGTTTCTACGGAGAGACCAACTTTTCCTAAGGTCACTTGTATGTAAAGGCGATTGAAAAACACAACTATTTAGTTCAAAGCAAGCATAACCTCACTTTTGTGAGAAATAACTAAAAATAAGACCTCATTGCCACATAGTCGGTTAATTACGAGTTCACAAAGAGTCATCTTCCATCCAAATTTTATACTACTTCTTTTCACTGATTTTTCTCGAAAGGTTGCAAAATTTACCAAACTTTTCAAACAATCCTACCTTTAGTATACTAACTTTGTGAGGTATGTGTAAGACCAAGAAGAAGAACTTGAGATAGAGCCACCATTTACTACACAATCAATTGAAAACTTCCTGAATTGATTTAAGTTTTACTGTCCGTCTGTCCATCTTGTTTTCTTGTGCTCAACCTACGGCCCGCATCTTTCGAGATATTTTGTAGTAAACCGATGACTTTTGGCCCAAGGGCGTACGCTCTCGAAAATGGTTCGGATCGTACAACTTTTTCGACCACGACAGTTATATGAATAACTATAGGTGAGTGTGCGGTAATTAATTGTGGGCCCTGACACACTATAGCATTTTTACCTATTTCCAATACGTTTCGTCATATGCCATTGCAGTTCATTTAGCGAAACTGATTTATTTTCAGTTAACCACCTCTGGCCCAGGCAGAGTGACTGCCACTTTGAGATGAGGAAACTTTGGTTAATCTCTTTTTTTTTTTAAGAAATTATTCAAGAACAAAGTTTCATCTCTCATCATTCCGTGGCCGATTCTAAAACACATTGTTCCTGTCCGAGTTCATCCGCGTGTGTATTGTCAAATTTGCAATAATTAAAATAAACAACTGAAAAGTAGATGGTCTTCGTTGGTGTTGATGACTGACTAACTTTAAAAATGGACATGGTCCGCCCACAAGCAATCCTAAATATTTCGATAAGTACATCGTCTATTTAAAGTTTACAGCTTTGTGGTTAGACTTTAAAAGAGCAAAGGAAAAAAGGGCCCATTCACCAATTCTTCAATTAAAAAGAAAGCTTTGAAATAGTTGCGCAATAGTCCGAAATAACTTCTTCTAGGACAAAATTTGATTTTCTTAACTTTGTTTTTTTTTGTTTTCGTTTTCCTTCTTATTAGATGCGAAATTTTGGGTAGGACAAGGTGAACGACCTACACCCAACGGTTTGCGTATACCGGACGAGAATGGCAAAGAGAATCCTCTACGACGTTACGATCGCAAAACAATCGTTTTAACTTTACCCGATGATTTAACAATATTCGATATCGGTCATTTCGGAGTATGGTGCGAAGCATTCACCGTTGATTTTGGTCATGTTTTAATATCCAAAAACTTGAATGTTCCGCCTTCGTTGAAAATGTTGGGTATAAGTCCTCAGGTAAAAAAGCACATTAGCTCTATACTTAATGATCTGATTGTATAGAGTGTTTTACGTCAAGTGACAAGAAGAAAAAGAAAGAGAAGAAGACGAAGACAAATAGAAGGAGTAACAGAGAAAAAAAGAGAAAGGAAAAAAGAAGCAGAGATAGAGAGAGAGAAAGAATGAATAGCCAGCCAAATTTATGGCCGACATTGCTGAGAATTTGACTAAGAAATTATTTCATTATTTCATTTATTTTTCTTTTCTCGTTAACTAAATATTTTCTT